CTACGGCGAGGTTGCTCGGCACATGCTCACCTTTTGCGGGGCGTTGATGACGCCGGTGTTGTAGCCGAATTGCAAGGAACCCAGCACCGCTCCTCCCACGGCGAGCATCAGGCGAGCCGTCATCTGCAGGAAAAAGGGGGAAGAAAACAAACAAAAAAAAGAGGTTAAAGTTGGGAGTCCCAGCTGTGCTCCCACCCCCCACGTTGGAGAGGTCCCCTGGTGCTTCACCCTGATGCTTGTGACGTTGTGAGCACAACTATGCAGGAGAAAGGAGTAAACTTGCTTTTTTGATGGCATCCACGTAGACTAGCGGAAAAAAAAATTAAAAATACTGGTTTAGGCTTAAAAAAACACTTTGGGGGAAATTTTTGCCCCCAGAGTGGGGCAGGAGGTTTTATTTGGGCTCACAGGATCCCCTCGGAGGGCTCCACATGACACCCGGGCAGCACGCCAGCGCGAGATGCTTTTGGGGACGCCACGGTGACGCCGCCGGCCGGCCGAGCATCGTCCCAGCACCGGCGCAAGGATGCCCCTGACAGCCGCCACTAACGAAGTTTTTGCATCGGAGCCTCATTAACAGTCACTAAGCAAAATCCTGGCTCTTTGGCAAACCCTTCACCCGCCTCCTCTTCCTCCTGCCTCAGCCAGAGTGACAATCGGAGCCTTGTTTGGGAGTGGGGTCAGGGCAGGCCAGCGCTTGGGCCACCTTCATTAACGGCCCAATTATCCCAGGCAGGAGATTTTCCCGGCGCTCAGCTCCAAGAACCAGGATCCGACATTCCCAGTTAATCAGCTTTGGGATGATCCACGTGAAATTTATAAGCCCATTAATTTCAGGGGCTGGGCTCTCCCCAGTTATCATGGGTGCATCACCCCAACCCAGGCATGCTCCCCCAGCATCTCAGATTAATATTCCCAAGGGATTGGTACCTGCCAGACCCCACCTAAATGCAACCCCTAACTCAAGGGGGCTAATTGCAAAGTACACACACACACACAAAAAAGATTTACTTTTTTTAAGTAAATATAAATAGGTGCTGTTCACTGACCTCGCCTCGCCAGCCAAGCCGCCTCCCCCCACGTTAAAGTTTGCATGGAAAAAGCAACAGGGAATAAAGCCAGGCCCGTTAATGAAGCTCATTAATTAGGCTTGGCCCCAACACAACTAATCAGGGAGATTTTAGCACTTTATTTTGTTCTGTGCTTCTGAGTAAAGCCATCCTGTGAAGCAAATGCCCTGCTTGGGAGGGCAAAAACAGGCTGGAAAGTTAATGGCATCCCAGAAAAACATGGAAAAAGCCCCCCAAAAATGTCAAAATCCCAACTCCAACCTCATCCGTCTACCCACCGCTCCACAAAACTGTGACAGGGGACACTGGGAATGCCAAAAGCAGCCTGTAGTTGAATAAATATTTAAAAAAAAAGGGGGGGCTATTTGGTATTTGGGTGGTTTAAGGGATTTTTTTTGTCTGTTTTGGGGTGTTTATGGGGTTTGGGGTGACTTTTCTTTCTCCCTTTACTTTTTGGAGGCCACTCCTTGCTTTCTGAGGTAGCAACTTTTACTCTGCATGGCTACCAGCTGGCTCGCCTGCCCCAGGAACGCTGCTGGGCCATCAGCGTGCCGGTGAGTCACAACGGCACCGTGCCGCAGGGACGCATCCCGCTGGTGTGAACTTTGCTCTGGGAAGGTGACAGGTAGCGACACCTCTTCACTCCAACAGCAGCCCTTACCCCACAAAGAATTAAATCAGAAAATCACTTTTGCAATTCTCACCAAAAAAAACCCTTAAACTTTTAACCTTCAGCAAAAAAAACCCTTAAGTTCTTAACCTTTAGCAAAAAAAAAAAAAAAGAAAAAACACCTTAAGTGCTTAACCTTTTGTGAAAACTTTATAATTTTATTAAACGCCAGCAGCTTGAAGAGGCGAAGGGATCAAGTTGGTAGGAAGGCTGCCGGCGTTTTTGGAGGCTCTCCCCAGGCAGGGTCACTGTGAGTCAGCTCCTCCCGCTCGCTTTGGGCTTCCCAGTTCCAAACAAGCTGCCCGTCCCGATGCGGGAGCCTTTCGGCTCTAACCTCGCCATTAAAGGAGAGGCTTAAGATGGCGAGTTAGGAGGAAAAAAAAAAAAAAAAAAAAAAAAAGAATGGGAAACTCCTGCAAAGCTACGCACAGGGTTTGTTGGGGGTTTTAACTGCTTGCAACAAACTGTGGCTTTATTTGGAGTCTAGGGAAAAAAAAAACAAAACACAACAAACCCAACGTATTTCCCCTTCTTGCTTTTGTGCAATGAACTTATTGACAGCCTGGATATATCCAACACTCATGGTTTTTCCCCTACTCAATCCTGCACCTTACAGGAAGGTGAGCACAGCACTTGTCAACTTAGTAACATTCAGATTTTTTTTTTTTTATGCTTCTTCCTGCTTCCTTCATCACTTGAACGCAGAAGCCAAGACCCTCGGAGGAGATATTGACTGTGGGGTGACAGCAGCCCCCCAGAACAACAACAGGCTGCATTTGGCTTTATAACTTTTTTTTTATCCATTTGTTTTTTCCTCCAGCACAGAAAAATTTCAGGATGCTGCCTGCCTCACAAACAAGGAAATTAAAAATACCTCTGCAAAAAATATTATTTAAAAAAAGCGTCCCAGGAGGGAATTTCAGGAAAATCCTCATTTAAAGATAGCTCATAAAAATTAGCCACGAGGCTTTAACGAGCATCCCAGAAGCTGACTGCAAGAGGTCTCATCCAGAGATGGATGCTGGGGTGATTGCGGGGGGCAGTTGCCACTTCGCAGCATCTTGCACGCTTGTTTGCACACTCGTGCACGCTTGCGGGAGAGCAGATAACCGGATCCGGCCCCAGCCTGGGATAACACGGCCGCACGCTGGCTCCCAGCCCAGGAAAAACTTACGCACCCACCGAGGGCCGGGTAAAACCTGCTCCTAAAGCCACGGCATGTGCCACAGCGCCGGCATTTACCGACGGGAGGGCTTTTTTTTTTTTTTTTTTTTTTTTTGCACCCAGAGAAAGGGAGGGGGGGAAACCCAGCACCACAGGGATCAGCTGAGATTTTTGGTGGATTATGGCCATGGGAGAAAACTCATGGTGAAGGGAAGCAGAGTCAGAGTGGCATTAGTTTATGGTTTATTTATTATTTTTTTTCTTACAGGTCAGCTGGGGACAGCGACACGATCCCTCCAAGTTTTGCAACCACAAGAGCGTCTGCAACGAGCCCAGAGATGTTTTTGCATGCAAAAAACTCGAGCAGCCTAGCTCCGTGGGCAGAGAAGCATGTCCCGCTTTAATAATATTAAATATTAAAGGCAGAGGGGTGAGTTCGTCCCCCTCTCCCAGCATCCCTGCAGCTTCAATACAAATCCCTTTTTTCCTTGCAAGGCGCACTCCAGGTTTAAGTGTTGCCCATCAGCGCGCAGCAAATTATTCCTGCAATTAATTACCTTAGAACAAATTAATCATTTCTAACCCAGATCTATCTAATGGAGTAGTTATTAAAGATAGAAAAGCAGAGGGAGCACGTCTCCGGCTCCATTGCGGTAGCCGGGAGTTAAACCCGGCCGGCAGCGGCAGCGCATCAGATTTCTTCGTTACGAGAACAAATTTCTTTTTAATTCCTCCCCCCATCGACGTGCTGCCGGCCATCATGTTCCTGGCTCCCAGCTACATACCTCACCCCCCTAAAAAAACCCGGTGCTGGGGTAGAACCAGCTTTAAATATGATAATAAAAAGAGATATATAGATTTTTTTAAAAAATAGCATTCCCAATGCTGCGAAGTTGGGCAGAAAAATAAGGAGTTGTTCGCTGGAGAGAAAAATAAGAGGAGTCATTCTGGTAACATCTTTAATTGGAATAAAATTATTATTATTTTTTTTAATTACATGTTGCCCGGCACTTTGCACCACCACGGAGCGAATTTTTTATTTCCTTTCCTGGGAAGAAAAAAAAAACAAAACCAAAAACCACCCCTATGTACTTGAATATGTCCCAAAGCACTCCCAGAAAGGGATATTTGGGGGGGCAGCATTCCCAGGAGAGGCCGGGACAAGAAAACCCGGGGTCTAACGTTAACAACCCCGCCGCAATTAACTCACCTTCCTCATTTAGGGCCTGACACATCGCGTCACTTTAACCCACCTCTAGTGTTAGAAATCGATTTATGTGAGTGGAGCTGTGGTGCTGCGAGGGCTCGGCTGCTGCCGGCTGGCCGAGGGACTTGGCATTATTTAATAACCCACTTTTGGGGGGTAAGTGGACGGGAATTAGGTCAAAACAGCGCACAGAGGTCACGCCGTGCTGGGACCCGGCCGGACGCCGCCATCAGCGCGGGTCCCCGGGGTGTTCCCCCGCCAGGGTCACCCCGGCCTTGCAACCCCCAAAAGCGAACCCAGCGCCTGTGGGGCCTGGCTGCCTTTTCCTCACCTTCAAAACGGGGCTAAAAGTGCCTTTTCTGACTCTTTCCTCTTCGTTTTCTCACCTCAAAACTCCCCTCCCCAAAAAAAGAAACCAAACCAAAACTCTTTCCCAGGCGCGCTGTGAGGCGCTGGGGCCGCGGGGTGGGTTGTTTTGGGGCGTTTTCCCTGCTTTTGAGGTAAATTTTTCCACGGTGTTTATATCGCGTGGCGGCACCCACGCGTGTGCGCCTTCGGGA